CACAGATCTTTATTAGAATTATGGGGATCATGAGCTAATAAATTAATTTTGTTATATATTTATTTATAAAATTAATAAATCAATCAATAAATGATGTAATAGTAAATTAATTTTTCGGCGGCATCCGAGCGCAACGGTAAAATGACTATGCCGCCGGAGCGGCGGCATCCGAGTCGAAAGGGTTAATGTATGTTTATATAAAATGAATAAAATTTCATTATTTTTGAAAAACTTAAGAGCTAAATGAAACTTTGAAAGCTTTTTTGGCGAATCTTATGGTAGTAGTTCTATTTTACCAAAAAATTTTATAGTCATTTCTTTACTATAAGATTTATTAGGGTCATATATAGATGGAAAGGTCTAACATATTATTTGACAAATTTTATAATAATATTATCTGTTTTTTAGTACTTGCAAGCCTTGCTTTTTACTTATAACGCAAATTTATTATTAAAAATGTATAAGAAACTAATACAAAATCTATAAAGCTAGCAACAAAAACATAGATGACACAAAAATAAAAAAAATGATTCTTTTTGAGAAAATTTTTGTTATAAATTTTATTTTACTTTATATTATTTTTAATCGACTATTTTATGAATTTTGTTAATCAGTATTTTATTTCTTAGCATTTTTTTAAGTTTTATCAACTGCAGGAACAAATTAAACCTAAAAAAAATATGAAAAATATTAAAAAAAAAATCAGAAACAAAATTTAATTTCCTTTCTGTTAACTAGGTGAATGCCAGTTCAAAAAGCTTTCTGTTATTTTTATACAATAGCAAAAAAATTATACAAAATATAAGAGTAAACTAAAATGAATTAAAACGTTTTTTTAAACAAATTATTACACCTCAGTAGTATATATTTTCTAGGAACAAGGTCAAAACTATTTTTGAATTTCCCAATTGCACTTCAACTTAAATAAATTAGTGATTTTAAAAATAACTTGCTCCCAGACAAATTGTGTGTTGACATATTTAACGAGTAAACCTTGACTGATATCGTTTTCATTTTCAAAATACTCTAAAATTAATATTAAATATTTATAAACTTGTGTAAATAATATAAAGGGTATCCCAGAACTCAACGTCTCAGTAGGAATCTTTAAGTGGAGAAACATGCTTTAGCAAAAATTGGGGTAATTGAGAATTTCATTTTGAATTTCAAATTAAAATTGTTATGACATTTTTTATTTCAAGTTTCATAATCAACAAAATTTAATATATATTTTTATACATGGAAATATCTTTTTATATATTTAATTATTTCCATATATCTATAAAAAAATCAAGTATTTTACGATTTTATAATTTTAAATAAATGTGCAAACTTTTGATGAGATTTGCCAACACCATTTAGTATATTTTTATGAAGAAAAAGTAGAAAAACTTTTCATTATTTTTGACTGTGGTCATCGTAATGTTATTTATAATTAGAGATCCAAAGTGCAAATGAACTAAATTTATCAAAATTAACTACAATAACCAAAAAATGATTGCAATTTAACCAAAAGTTCAGGAATTTAAATGTTCATAATTTTCAACTGCATGGTACAATTTTTTTCTATTTTTTTTATAATGGGTACAATAAATTCTGTTACTCCTAGTCGGTTTGACGTTGAATTCTGGGACACCTTACATAAGTTTGTAGAAGTCATATTATAATTAACTTCCCATTGGGGGCAGTTATTGTAATCGTCCAAAAATCTATATTGCAAATTTTTGCATATGTTTACGTTTCAGAGGTTTCTGAACATTTTGGCATAACTGTAATTTTTACTTAAGTTCTAATATACCCTAAACAAATAATTTCAACTTTTCAGTTCAGTTCATATAATTCTTATAAATATTAGACAATGTTACAGTATTTATCTATAATAATCTATTTGAAAACATTCAGTATTCCTCGAACATTTCGTCACGGTATGGGAAATTCCAGCAATTTGCCTTAAGGCACGATGCCATACATCCCACTAGTTTTTATAATGGTTACAATAAATTCTATTACTACTAGTCGGTTTGACGTTGAATTCTGGGACACCCTGCATAAGTTTGTAAAAGTCAAATGATTATCTAGAAATATTTATCAATGTGTAAAGAATTTAGTCATATAAATTGTTCACAATTCCATCTTCCAAGTCTAGGTTGAGGTTGTTTTTTTTTTAAGTACATGTAGTTGATAAAGCAAAAAAAGGTTGTCTACTTCTATTCCAGAGGAGCAGAACAAAAAGAAACATTCAAAATTTGACGACTTTTATTATATTCTTTGCTCTCGCAATCACAAACTATGTTTGCTCAAAACTGCATTAAACTTTTGTTAGTGCAAGATGCGGGAAATTGTTATTTTTACTACAGTTTTTGCTGCTCTTTTCTATTTTTATATTTTATTTTATTTTTTCTACTTGTTTTATTTTTTAATTCAGTATGCTGAATGCGAAAATGTACACTGAAAAATAAACAAAAACAAAAACAATGTTTTATATCTAATATTAAAATGAAGCCGAAGGTGCATTATGCGATGAAAAGTACAATGTGAATTATAGAAGCGACTTTTGTTGGGAAGTAGAAAATACAAAGTTGTTTATGCTTTTTAATATCGGAAAATGTAGAGGTGGAATTATTATTCAGATTTTATCCGAATGCTTTTTAATAAAGGTAATCAGGACGAGAGGCAAAATAATATGCTATATTCTTCTAACTTCCTACATATGTTCTTGTTCATTTCTTGTCAAAGTATAAAATTTCTATATTATTTACAACACAATTTCGTTCATTTCATATTTATGATCTGTTCCGGAAGAAGTCTTGGAAACGATAAATCAATTTAACGTGTCTAGTGAAAAAGTTTCCGAGGAGAAACTTTTTTAACAATATTATTTACAACGCCCTAGAAACCGAGTTGTCGTCCCATTTGGGAAGTGTAAACTTTATAAAATTCATGAGACAAGAAAGTAATCAATACTTGAGCGAGTTTTCAAACTATAATACGAGTTATAAGCAACGCTTGCTGAATAATTGAATTATACAATTTGTTAGTAATAGAAAAGTATACTTGGTAAGAGAAATTTGATATAAATAAAATAAAGGTACTTTCCTATAAATTTATTTTTGTATCCATAAGAAACATTTTGCAAAGACATTTATGATTCGCAAACACGGCGTGATTCTTGTTCAAATAAATTTTGATGCATAAATCTTCGAGAACGTCTTGCATTCGAGATTTAGACATTTTGTAAAAGTAAAGAAGACGTGGACGTGCATAAAACTTTTCTGCGAGATTCATGCAGAAAATGCAAATACTAAAATAAACGCAAATCCTAAATATCACTTTAAAAATCAGACATAAATAACGGAAAGAGTATGGGCATGTTTCCATACAGAATTGGTCCCACCCTGTTATTTAAATAATTTTGATGCCATTTTATAGGTATTTTTGAGAAAATTCGAAATACCGAATTTCAAATTCGTACCTCCTCATTTGGCCGAGATATCAGTGAAAACATGTGAAAGTGCCCCCTTTTTCACTTTTTCAAATTCAAACTCGCTTTTTGTCGGAAATATGAGAGATATCGAAAAAATGTTAACGTCATTCTATTTATACTGATCTTGTCTATGTTGCTCATAATAAATAATGTGAAAAAATTATTTGTTAGTGCGTGAAAAGGTGAAAATGATTTTTCATTTTCCATTTTCTACCCATTCCATATTAAAAAATTCATTCAAATCTAAGTGGAACTTTTGGAGAAAAGTTGGAAAAACTTGACCACTGAATCCATAAGTCATTTATTTCAGAAGACATTTTGATTAACTCCATTCTGTAGTGTATATGTTCTGGTTGGGTTGGATTTCGGGTTTCAAATTCATGAATTACGAATAAGAACACAGAACTGTAGGGTGTTGAGGGTCTCGAAAAAATTTCATCTAGTTTTATAAAAGACATCAAGGACGTGACAAACTTTGAAAAAATAACATACTAAAATTCGTGTACCCGGCAAAACGAAAAAGTTTATTGAAACTTGTTCAAGGTACGGAAATAAGAGCTAACTTAATCAAAAATAAATTTCTGGTCGGTGAAAATAGTTATTAATCTATTGACTCGAGAATTTGTCATTATTGAGTCACGTGCGAAAAAAAATCGAGACATAATTTTACCAGATAGTTGATACAATATAATTTAAGACATTTAAGAAAAAAGCGCCATTGTAGCTAAGCCGAATGCTTCACTAAGATTTTTTATCTATTTTTTATTTATTTAGAACAATAAATCAATAACAGAAAAGTAACCATCACAGGGTGTCCAGAAAATTGGCTTAAAATGCGCTGAAAATAGAATAGAAAGGTCCAAACTCAACGACATACAATTTAAGTGTGACTACAATGAAGATCCGAATTTTAAAAAAAAGTATAAATTTTAAATAAAGTTGAAAACTTGATTAACTCCACAAGTCATATCAAAACTTTAACTTTAATGATAATTATTTTCTCACTATCAATAGTTATAAATCTTATATACCGTTACAAGTAAGCTATATATGTATTTATACGTTCTAAAATATATTTTTCAATTTATATTATAACAGGAATTTTTAAAAGCAATATACATTACTTCATCGCTTTTCTCCACTTTCTGACCTTCGGAGTTAGTCACTGTGTGCACTGAACGGCTCATATTTCAATGTATGAAAAATTTAAGATTTCAATATTTTTCATATATTTACGTCGGCAATAAAAAGTATTTTAATTTTAATTCATTACCTTTTTTGATTTCTTGCAATGTTATTATATTTTTTATAGTTATCATTAAATAAAAATCGATAAAAGTATATGTCAGAAACACGCCCAGACCCTTTATATTTATGTTTACTGAAGTGTTTTTTTGTCTTTGTGAACTTTATTAAAATATTTCAATTATTTTACTTTTGTGTGTAAGACTTGTAATGAAGATTTATTATAAATATGATAAAATTATTAATCTGTATATTTTTTTCTGTTTTTCAGAAGTGGAGGTATCCCGCGGCGGCCGAGGCTCCCGCCAAAGTTCCCGCTCCCGGGAGGACCCCCGGAGGCACACCCTTGGAGGCGACATGCTCTACCAGCAACAGATGCTACCTCAGAGGGCACTCGATCTGGAGGTAAAAATTTTAATCACTATATTATATTTATAATATTATAATACACACCGATATCAATTACTGACGATTGACATCAGCGAATCCATCATCCCCATTTCAATAATTAATGATTGACATGAAACGACAATTTTATTGAAAATAGTAGATAATGGTACAATTATTAATAACACTGAACTAATGTAAATACATTTCACCGAATATAAATTTTACACTTCTCTTCATCTAAATGTAAGTAATAAATTTTCTCACGTGCACAATAATGAAAACGGTGGAGACGCCGTGTCATATTTTTTAATCCGCCGTAATTGAAACTTTTACGTGAGGATTTACAGAAATGTTTTATTCTTTCATTTTTCATAGAAAAATGACAACGCAATATATATATGCACGAAATACAAATTTAACTATATCATTAATAAACATAATTAGAAATATTTAAATATTTGCAAGAATACACTATGAAAAAAATATAATAGAAAATATTTATGGTAAATTAAAAAAATAAATGGTGCATTTGCTAAATTTTGATAAGTTTTTTGATAAATGTGCATTTTCTATTGATAATAATATTAATATTCATATTTAATAGAAAAAATGGTTTGATTAACGTCTAAAGTTTTCAAAAAATGTATTACAATTTTATATTAACTTCCTTCAAAAATAATAAATTAACATAATCCATAGGTGAGCTTAGGAAAAAATTGTTTGGAACTACGATTCGAAATTAATCATTCATACAGTGAAAGTTTTTTTCTAGAAGTACTTGAACGATTTATTTACTAAAAATTCCTGCATAAGTTATCATTTGTGAGCAAACCAAAAAAACTCAGATGACAAATTTTACTTTCAATGCAAACGTTGAATTTAATATTTATTGTCGTTTGTATATCGCAATTCGTGACCCAATTCAGATATTGTTTGTTAAAATCATTGGAGAATGATTTGGAATGGTTTATTTAAAGAAAAGAAGAATATTTTTCACTAAATTTTTTTCAGAAAAAATTTGATAGTTAATACTGCAAAACTCAATTGGATCATAACCATTTTCTCATTATAAATGTTTTTCAACAGAATTCGATATATCATTGATTTTTAATTATAATAATAATCATTATTATTATCATTATATATACTAGAACTAATTATAGTTAGTTCTAAATGTGAAACAAAAGTGTTAGATGTGGTCAACTCTTAATATATATACACTTTTTTAAAAAAATAAATAATTTCAGGTAAATCCTAATCGAACATCATTTACACTGAAAGCAAAGTACATTTTTTTTTATTAATAAAATGACTTACAAATCAGAGGCTTGTAATAAGAGGGAGAAAATTTAGGGCTGTAATTACAGTTTTTTAAATAATAAAATGAAAGAAATTGGTCGAAAAATTATAAAAAAATAGAAGTTTTAACTTGTAGAATGGAAAATTTTAATTAATATTTTTGGATCATTATTGAATATATTTTACTATAAAACAAGTTTCATAAATATTTGTATTTTATTCTTAAAGAAAACCTGCAAATTCTCAATCTATATCAATAATGGAAAGTGCACTTTAGTTTATAGATTATAACAAATTTTGATTTTAAAATTTTCCTTTTATAAAAAATAAAATCAATCAATTTGCATGTAATATTTGTCTAGTATTAATATATGTTTTATCTAATTAATCAATTAATCTAATAACTCAATTACTAAATTTATAACTTAGTAAAATTTCAATTTTTGGTTAAAAAAAAATCCGCTAAATGAACAAAAATTTTAAAATCGAGAATTGTATTAAATTAAATAATCATGCATAAGTTAGTAAAAATACGTTTATTTGCTGAAATATGACATTTACCAGAAACAAAATTATCAAACTATAAGGCTGCGTACAAAATCAAAGCTAAATTAACTTTTCATAATTTTGTTCAAAAACTCATCATGTTTAAATAATTTGCTCATTTTTCGCACTCCAACGTAATTAAACGCAACACTCACAAAACTTTTATTATATAATTGAATAGAAAACATGAACTGAACTCGTTAATTATAGAAGTTGCGAAATTAACAGAGTTTTATGACAAACAAGCAAATTGTAATTGAAATATTAAAGTTTGTTGTGAAATTCATTAACGGGCTATTTATGGCTTTGAATAATGGAAAAGCTACGATGCAAATTAATAAAAGCCATGATAATTTTCAATAAAATCGAATTGCATAAACCCAATTATATATAAGTTTTATCCTAGTCTATTATACAGTAATTAATTCTATTTCTATCTATTTCGAATTCATCTCTGTACAATATTTATATTTTCTCATATTTTATATATACTCAGTGTCGTATATCTACTCTAGTTAGTATAGAGAGATTTGTCATCATGCAAATGACGTGTTCTGTTGTGTTTAATAAGAATTAATTGCACTATATTTATCAAAGATGACTTTTGTCGATTAATTTCATTAATTTAATAAATATGTTTTTTTAAAATGCTTTCTCACGATGTCAAGATGGGGACTAGAAATCAGAGATCGAGGAAGGTAAGATAAGATATCAGGAATATGGAAAATTTTTGGATGTATTTTATTATTTATCAACATTATTTATTAAGATATATATATATATATATATATATATTAACAATTTGCAAGTCAATATTTGTTATAAGTTTTGTTTTATATGCGTCATTATCAATCAAAACATACAAAAAAAATCCAAGCACGAAGTTGAAATATTTTTGAACAAAATTTTATTTTTAAGAATTTTTAGAAAGTCATTGTAACCTACATAAAGAAATTTTTAATAATTTTTTTATATTAGTTTATTTTGTAACAAAAATATAGTTATATTTCAACAAATTTTCTTACTTAGCTTTTATAAAATATTCATTTTGATGGTCGAATCACAATTTTTCATTTGATAATTCTCGTTATGGTTTTAGTGTTTTAATATTAACAAAAATATTAATTTGTTTTAAACAATTTTATGTTTTGTTCTTCCTGGCCTGAATTATTAATGTTGAATAATTCTTTAATTTTCGATAAATTACATGCTAAATAAATCTTTATAGTTTTTATAAACGAATAATGTGAAGAAAAAAAATGTTTACACTTTTGTGACTCATTATTTTATGATTTTTTTAAACTATTTTTATCTAGTAATAGTAAGAAAAACTTTAGGATATGAGAAAAACATATATTCAATTAATTAAATTCTTAGAGGTTCTTTAAATTGAAGGCTATATTTCTTTTATTTTGTAATATAAAAAGATATCAATTTAAGTATCTATGTGATATATTTCAAAAATCAAAAACAATTATTCATAAAAAATACGTACTTACCACGAAACTTATCTATAAATTTAAAATAAAACTTAAAACTCAATACTCTCAAAGAAACGGATTTTAACAAAACTTTCATAATATTATTAAATGTTATTATAAAACTAGCTACAATTATGTAATATTTGTTGATATGTTCTAAATTATTGCCATACTGTTTGTAAAAAAATTAAAAGAAAAATGTTGTGATTTCATAAATAATATATTAATTATAAATTTAAAATATCAAGGCTGTAAAATTTATTTTGTATAAAAAAGATATTTATTTAAAATTAAAATTTAAAAATTCTTGCATTTTATAGTAAATATCTTCAAACACAATTAATCATAGTGATTGTAAAAACTTTTGTATCTGAATTAAAAGTATTTTAATTTTATAATTAACCTAATAATTATTATTATAAAATACTAAGAGATTGGAATTTATGTTGTAAATGATTTCATATGTCTTTAATTCTTAACCCTTGAAATCAGTTTGAAATATCTTTTAAACCACCATTATTAGTAGGGCCATTTAATAGCTATTGAGAAAAATTTAACAATATACTCTACATTTCTTAAAGATAATAAACAAATTTCATAGAATGCAAAAATTGATCACTAAAATTTTTAAGAATAATTATACTTAAATTAAGGGTACTATTTTATTGCCATTAGGGTAATTAAACACTCAGCTTAAAATTGGGTATAGGAGCATAAAAAATTTAATTATTAAATTAGCTTAAAGATCTTATAAATAACATTTGTACAGCAAATTTTAAATAATTATCATGTCCACGAGAAAAATTTATAAAAATTTAAAACTGAAATGTAAATTTTGTAGATTTAAAAAACTTACTATGAAATTCTTAATAAAAGAAATTAAGTAATCTTTAATAATGATTTCAATAAATTAAAGTTGCTGACCTAATAAATGTGTATTAAAATTAAATATAAAAATATTTTAATCAGTTAATTATGAATTTTATTTAATCAGTTAATGTTAAATTAATACCGTATATGTAATAAATGTGCAACAAATTGAATTCATATTTAAACAAATTCCAGCAAAATTTATCGTAATTTTTATCATTTTGATGCATTTATAATTACAAGACTAGGGATTATATATATATATGTCGAAAAGCATGAATATGTAACTAATTGAATAGTATATTTAGAAATTTTTAACAATTTTGTATTTTATTATAGATTAGTTAATTTTCCACCAAAATGCATTATTTATATTTCATTAAATTTCATTATATATTTTCATACAGAATTGATTATTTTTATAATTATAAGTGTAGAAAATATAGACATGTAGGAATTATATTTCTCTAACGATAGATTTCCTTTCATTTCTAAACAACTATTAGTGTTTTTTCAACAAATTTTAGTATTAATTTTACAACTAATTTCATTATTTATTTTCCAACAAAATTTTCTATTTTCATCATTTTTAGGAATTTATTATTATATGACTCGAAATTGTAAACATCTAGAAAATATTCATTTATTTATTCAACGCCCAAGGCAATAATACAATATAATTACATTTTAAAGTGTACAAATTATAAACTGTAGATAATATGTGAGAAAATTAGAGTATTAAGAGTTCATAGATAGAGAGCTTTGTATACATACATAACACTTTATATAAACTACAAATATATAACACTAAATAAAAACTAATAATGTGTAGGTTACAAATATTTAATCGATTTGTATATTTAAACATCTCCAACATTTTTTTTCAATGTTAATTAGTTTATTTCTCAACTAAACTCATATTTATTTGTATGCTTTTTTATTCTATTTTAAATATTTTTTATAATTTTGCAGGCACCCCCAACCCGCGGCTACGCCCCTTTGGGTCTCGGAGCTGCCGGTCCGTTGTTCGACGACGACCCCGGAATAATGTCGGAGGTCGAGACCGCCTCCACTGGATTCCGAAGAGGCGGCAAACAGAGGAGCTCATTGCCCGTCGTACGAACGCCTTCCAAGACGCTCGAGAGACCTCTAGGTCAGTAATGGAATTTGATAATTGATCTAGAAAATTATAGAATCAGAAGAATAGAAATCAAATTATATTACCACGACGAATATATTCGTCAATCACAGAGTATGTTGCCTTGCTAAGATATCGGAAGAAAAATATTACAAAGTTTAAAAAATTCTTCTTTGTTAACATAAGCATATGTTGCATACGTATTGAATTAAAAACTGATTAAATTGAATGAAATATTATACTTGTCATTGTATGAAAGTAATGGCATCTGATAATTGATCTAGTAAATTATAGAATTAGATGACGAATAGAATCGATATTGTAACATATTTTGTAGTTTTTTACTTTAACACGAAACATGAAAACGATGCATGTTTTGTATTACTAGAAAATGGTAGAAATTGGTTGAAGTCAGTATTAATACATTAATGTTAACTATAAATTTTGATAAATAATCAATTTTTTTATTAACTTCCCGAAGGAGAAGTTTATGTTTTCATCAAAAAATCCGAATCGCTAATTTTATGTTTTCTCGACGTTTCAAACCATTCTGAATCGAATGAGACCAAATTTGAAAAAAGTATGTGTGTGTGTGTGTGAACAGATTTTTTGCCGTAAATCGACCTTTTCTCGAAAACGGCTGGGCTGATTTCAAAAATTTAAATGCCATTCGATGTATCTCGACGAGGACTAATTGTGGGACGATCGGCCGAGACGTTTCTTTATGAACAGCAGAAAAGTGAAAAAAAATTTGTCTACGTTGTAGGCCGCAATTCTGAACCGATTATGAAAATTCAAAAACCGTGCGAAAGGTATTGATTGGGAATCGTGCTGATTAGTTTTTGGTAAAGATCAGCCGGGCCGCTTTCTTGTAATAAAGTGTTAAAACTTTTTTTTTCGACGGTAGATACTATAGTCTTCTAGATCATACTAAAATATTACGGCCCTACGACAACTGGTTTAGCTTTAAAAATTCGTCAAAAAACGCCTGAACCGATTTCAGAAATTTAAAAGCTATTTGATGTATTTCGACGAGGACTATCTTTTGTCAGTTTTGTGAGACGATCTGCCAAGCCGTTTATTTGTGATTTTAAAAAAAGTGTTAAACTTTTCGTCCACATTTAAGCTCATCCTACCGAACCGATTTTAAAAAATCAAAAACTGTTCGAAAGATATAGTTGGGAATATTTGAGAATGGTACTGATTAGTTTTAAATGAAAATCTACCGAGCCGTTTTCTTGTAATTGACTATTGAAAGAAAAAATTAAGCCGATTTTTATAGAATTTTTTTAGCGATATATATCATGGTCTTATAGAACTTACTGAAATATTACGGCCTTACGACAAGTAGTTTAATTTTAAAAATTCATCAAAGTTTGAGAAAATGAGTAGTTTTTTTGACGTTAGCTAAAATTAAAATTAGACGATTTACTTGATATAACAATAAAGTACTTGGGGTTAATAAACATAGTAAACCATTAAAATCCTACGGAAACTGGTTCAAATATAAAATAATTGTTGATTTTTGAAAAGTTGCTTTTTGAAAATACTCCGAGTTAACGTGTTCGTTCGTTTTCAATTATGTGTAATAAATCCACTCATAAATTAATTTTTTTTATTGATTAAGTCGCTTATTTACACATATCGGGAAGTTCATGTAACTTGCCTCAAGGCTAAATACCAATACCAACTAGGTTTATTATAGTTCCAACTATCTCCTCTCGGTTTAAGCAAAATACCTCCTCTCAGACTAGACCACTTTTATATATTGCTTATCATTTATTTACTTGTGCAAAGCGAAGCAAGAAAACTAAACGTTTTCTTTTATCCATAAATTTTCCTAGAGAAACGTATATCTTCGCGCACTTCTTTTGAAACACATCGGAAATTACAAGGAAGAGTGCCTCATGAAATTTGAATATGTTGTAATTTATTTGAAAATTGTCAGGTTATTTTACAGAAAGTTAACCAGTCATAGTTGAATCACAAAGATTGAAGATTATTATTATAACTTGGTATATAAACGGATAATAATTCTGTATTAGCTCTTGTAGAATAGTATATAGTGTAGAATAAAATAAAATCGTAATGCAAATTTATTTTTTGCTGATAACAAGGTTTACTTGGATACGTTCATTCAAATAATTTAAATTATTAAATAATTGAATTTATATATAACTGAACTAGTGCTGCACGGTATCCTGCTTTAAAGCAAATTGCTAGAACTTCCCGTACCGTAATTAAAAATCTTGGTACGGAACGCAAAAAAAATTACGCAAAATGTGTACACATTATTAATGACAAATGCCAAATGACATTTATTTTTAACTTATTTTTAACTTATTTTTATTGACAGTCCATAACCGCTGGACCTGCCTTCCCAAAAATTTAATCAGTTCTTTATCTTGTCAATACAAGTAAAATGTTTTTTGAATTATTAAAATAGGACGTTCCGTTCTCTTAAAAACTGAGATACCGTTTTTGGCACCTTTTGCCCTATATCTTCGAAACGGCTAGACCTGCCTTAGCCAGAAACTAATCAGCACCTCTCCTTATCAATACGAATTGAACGTTTCCGAAATCGTCGACGAAAATTTGTATTTGTACACGCACACACACATACACACACATACATTTTTTCTGAGGTATGCCAAAATATTCAGTAACCTTTGAAACGTAAAAATATATAAAAAAATTATTTTCGATTTTTTGCGATTACTACAACTTATCTTACGGGAAGTTTACTAGTAGTGCACGGCATCGTGTCTCAAAGCAAATTGTTAGAACTTCCCGTAGCAAAAATTAAAGTTTAAATAGAAATATAGATTTTTGAGAAATTTGAAATTTAAAGAAAAAAATAGTTTTACAAAAAATCATATTTTGTTATATCTCGATTGCGCTGTATCGCGGTCTAACGAATAGACATTGGCACGGAACCCATAGAAATGTAAATTAAATTTGTTCTTATTATTAAAATCTCTTGATTTGCATGTCTCTTGATATTGATGTACTTGTCTAGTGATCGTTTGCCAAATGTATTTTTTTACATTTTGTACTCGATCTCCAAAACCGCTAGACCTGCCTTTCTTAAAATTCAACCAATTTTACATTTTGTCATTACAAGTAAGATAATTTTTGAATTATTGAAATCGGACCCTTCGTTCTATCAAAAACTGAATTTCTATTGTCTTCCTTTGCAAAAAAACTAATTAGTTCGTGTTTTTGTCGATAGAAATTGAATGTTTTTTTAATCATTCAAATCGGTTGATCCGTGTTCTTCAAATCGTCGACGAAAATGTATCCGCACATACATACATTAATTATTTATAAGGTATGCCATAATGTTCAGAAATCCTTGAATCGTAAATATATGCAAAAAATTTCTGTTACGATTTTTTGGCGATTATGCGTTAACAATTTTTTTGGAACATCAGTCGAGACATTTCTTTCTTATTAGCAGAAAATGAGCAAACTATTTGAAACGCAATGCGATTATAACGTAGAAATATATACTTAATTTTCAGAAATTTGCATTCTATCTAATAAGGAAGTCTTGCACTGCAATTATAGTTATCTAGATCAAACAGTACTGTTAACTTATCGCCTAGTAATGTTCATAAAACACTACAGATAAACCCACAACTATCACCATTGTCTACTATAAATTTCCTGTTCAGATATCAAATAATCACACATATATGTCCTTTCTTTCTAGGTCTGGTCTTTCTGCAGTATCGCAACGAGACAAAGCGCGCCCTGTTGCCGAACGAGATAACCTCGATCGACACGGTGAGGGCGCTCTTCGTGCGATCCTTCCCGAGGCAACTAACCATGGCTTATCTCGAAGGACCCCACGTTAAGATTTATATACACGACAGCAGCAAGGACATGTTCTACGAACTCGAGGATCTCAGGTGATAAAAGATACTTGGGAGAAAGAGTTATATTTATTGAGAATTTAGTAGTGCATTGCATCGTGCCTTAAGGGGGTATTCTAGTGTAGAAATTCAAAAAAATCGATTTTTTTTTTATTTCATATTTTCAAAGTTTAGCTATCTAAGAATATGGGTACAAGAAGGTTTTTGAAACATTTGAAAATTATTTTCGGAGATATAGGCTTTTACTGACTCGGTCTCCAAACTGGTTTGGCTTCACACAAAACTTTAAATGCGTTTTTCTCAGAACAGACTTTTTCAGTACTGTTGACACAATTTCTCGAGTTTTAATCGACCGATTCACTTGAAATGTTTAGAGAGTCTTGTTTATAGACTTATCTATAGCCTGAACTAGGATTATCCCCAAATTCAAATTTTTAGTATTAACTTCCCGAAGAAGTTTATGTTTTCATCAAAAAATTTGATTCGCTAATTTTATGTTTTCTCAACGTTTCAAGCCATTCTGAATCGAAAGAGACCGAAATTGGAAAAAGTATGTGTGTATGTGTGTGTGTATTTGAACAGATTTTTTGCCGTAAATCGACGTTTTCTCGAAAACGGCTGGGCCGATTTCAAACATTTAAAAGCCATTCGATGTATCTCGACGAGGACTATCGTTTGTCAGTTTGTGGAACGATGGGCCGAGACGTTTCTTTATAATTAGCAGAAAAGTGAAAAATTTTTCGTGCACGTTTTAGCCCGCAATTCTGAACCGATTATGAAAATTCAAAAACCGTTCGAAAGGTATTGATTGGGAATCGTGCTGATTAGTTTTCGGTTAAGATCGGCCGGGCCGTTTTCTTGTAATAAAGTGTTAAAGAAATTTTTTTCGACGATTTTTTTCGACGATTTTTATTATTATTATTTTGACGATAGATACTATAGTCTTCTAGATCATACTAAAATATTACGGTCCTACGACAATTAGTTTAACTTTGAAAATTCGTCAAAGTTTGCAAAAATTGGTATCGTTTTTTTTGGCATTTGTCAAAATTAGACATTTCATCGACGTTTTCTCAAAAACGCCTGAACCGATTTCAGAAATTTAAAAGCCATTTCGATGAGGACTATCGTTTGTCAGTTTTGTGCGACGATCTGCCAAGCCGTTTCTTTGTAATTTGAAAAAAAGTGTTAAACTTTTCGTCCATATTTAAGCTCATTCTACCGACCCGATTTTAAAAAATCAAAAACTGTTCGAAAGATATTAGTTGGGAATGATACTGATTAGTTTCAGGTGAAAATCTACCGAGCCGTTTTCTTATAATTAACTGTTGAAAAAAAATTAAGCCGATTTTTATGGAACTTTTTCATATACTTTTACGAATATACGTATATACTATTTTATATACTTTTTACGTATATACGTATATACTATCTTATATACTTTTACGTATATACTATAGTTAATTACCGAGCCGTTTTCTTGTAATTAACTGTTGAAAAAAAATTAAGCCGATTTTTATGAAACTTTTTTTTGGCGATATACATCATGGTCTTATAGAACTTAATAAAATATTACGGCCTTACGACATGTAGTTTAATTTTAAAAATTCATCAAAGTTTGAGAAAAAGAGAAGTTTTTTTGACATTTGTTAAAATTAAAATTAGATGATTTACTTGGTATAATGGTAGAGTACCTGGTCTTATTAAATATACTTAACCATTAAAGTCCTACGGATACTGGTATAATTATAAAAATTGTTGATTTTTGAAAATTTGCTTTAAGAAAATACTCCGAGTCAAAGTGTTTGTTCGTTTTCAATTATGTGTAATAAATCCACACGGAATACTTTTCACCACTCATAAATTAACTTATTTTTTATTGATTAAGTCGATTATTTACATATATCGGGAAGTTCATGTAACTTGCCTCAAGGCTAAATACCAAACCAACTAGTTTTTAAAAAATTCGAGAAACTCAAAAAAAAAAAACAGTAAAAAAACACTTTTTTCAAACAGTCGCCAATTTGTAAAAAAAAATTTTTACTCATTGCTAGTTCAGGCGATTGCGACATCATTGTAGATTAATAATCTTTTTATTTTTTGCATTTTCGATGTCTAGGAGGGCTGAAATCATGTCAAGACTGAGGTGCCAATTTTTTGAGACCACCCACTTCATCAGCTGCCAGTTTTTACAATTTTCAACTTCTTTATTTTTTTATTTTTGTTTTGTATTTTAATAATATTAATAAACAAGTGGTAAAAAATGGATAGTAAAAACATTCATTGCTTTCTTTTACGACACTTTAAAAATGACCTAAAATTCATCGCTCTACACTAGAATACCCCCTTAAGTTATTCTGTTAAACTTTTTTAAATGTTTTCTGGTAAAAGTGCTTAATCTTAAGAGCGTTATTAAAAATTGAATATAATTATTTTTTCCTCCTCAGATCCCATTTGCGCGACATCCGCGACCGTTCCGTCCTCCGCCTGTTCGAATCGGCGGAGGTGTCGGGCGCCTGCCCGGGCGTCGGCGTCGGCGGGATGCCCGTCGGGCCGCCCGGTTCGATGCCGGTGGCCGCCTGGGGCGACGCCGACCAGAGCTACTTCAGCGAACCGGAGTTCGACTCGGAGTACAGGCACCAGCACGTCCATAAGAGCAAGGTAAGATAGTTTATTATGGAATATAAATGTTGATTAATAAAAAACTATTAAGAATATATTTCATTAGAAACTATCGTTTGATTAAAGATAACCAAGAAAAACGTGTGCTTGCATTCAGGGGCACAACTAGTTCAAAAAAACGAATTTTTAATTTTTCCATATTTCTATGTCATACCTTCAAAAATAACATACCAAAATTTTAAATCGATATCTTAAATAGTTTTTGAGTTACAGCCATTTAAAGAGTATATATATACACGTATATATATATATAGTTTATAGTATAACGATCATTTAATCTTTAAACGAGTTTTTCTCGAAACAGCATTTTCCGAATTTGCTGCAGCGATTACTCAAAAACAAATAATCCGATTACTATCGATTTTTTTGCATGTTCTATTCACAGTTATCCGTAAAATGAACTATCGATTTTTTGATCGGATCAAAAAGCGAATTTTGGCAGTCCAAAAACGATCAAAATTTTGGGTAAAATTAGACTTTTTTAAAAAAACGCCGAAATTTTGTCATTTTTTTTTCTTTATCGTAGTTTATTTTACCGACAATATTATCTAGTTTAACGAAATTTTTTTTCCAAATTTTATCCACGTAGAAGGCCGGATTCACTGCAGCAGTGAAGGGCCTTTTTCTTGTCGCGCCGTTGGAGATCGACGATAACTTAAAAAATATTTAATTTTTTTTTTCAAAAATTTTACTATGTATCTTTAAAATATGTATAAATATATTCCTAAAATTTTGAAATAATTAATAAAGTAGTTTTTTTAATATAAATTTCCAAAAATCAACTTTTTTTAGGCGGTTACACTAGTTGTGCCCATTAAATTCTATTATGTCAAGCGAACTCAATTACTTCATACGGACTTCTTCTACTTATCGAATGGTGTTTATGAATTATTTACCCATATCTGATCTAAAAAATGTTGTGTACCCCTGTTTTCTAATGGTTGACACAAATTGCCAGAGATATAAATATAAAAGTTATATAGAAAGCTTTTATTGTGCAGATTGCTCGCCTGCAGCAGATTTTTAAAGTCGATATCAGCAGATTTTTTATTATTCCCAAGTTACATTATGTCTTATAAAGTCATTATTGGAGATCACTATTTTTATAGTTATATAAAGTTGAAGAAATTTGCTTTAGAAATCATAAAATTGTACGATAGATTGATCTAAAATTATAGAGCTTGGTATTTTCATAGTAAATATGCCATTTGATAAATATAGCATGTATTATAAATGACTTTTTTGAATATTCACACTCTCCTAAGTATGGTGGGTAAAAAACCTTTTTCTATACAAAGTGATTTTTGGACATTTTTTTACATTTTATGGAGTACTTTGGAAATTTGGCCTCGGCCACTTTGTTTTATAAATATCAGTATAAAACTAGGTAAAATTTACTGAAATCCAGTAAAAACTGTTATTCACATTTGCATACTAAAATTTCTAGTAATTCATAGTTGAAATGCGGACTTTAGTATTTTGTTAATTTGCTATAGATCATTTCATTTCTTACTTTTCGTCGAATAACTATTAGTTTTTGTAAAGAACTTTATAAATTGTTTACATCACTACTAAATAGATAAAGTTTACTAAAATTAATAAAAACTATCATTCACATTTGTATATTAAAATTTTGGATAATTCGTAGTTGAAATGCGGATTTCAGTATTTTGATAATTTGCTGTATAGGATATAGAATATAAATCATATTTTACTCTTCTTCAAATAACTTTTAATTTTTAGTTAGGATCTTATAATTAGTTCACATTAGTAACAACTAGATAAAATTTACTTACATTTGGTAGAATCTATTAATTACATTTGCATATTAAAATTTTACAAAATTTCTAGTTCAAATGCGGTCTTTAGTATTTTGAAAATTTGCTTTATAGAGATATAGATAATTTTTTAGTTTTCTTTAAATAACTTTTAATTTTCGTTCAGGACATTAGAATTTTTTTACTTCAGTAGATAAAACTTACTAAAATTTGGCGTAAACTATTATTGAATAATTCGTAGTTGAAATGCGGACTTTAGTATTTCGAAAATTTGCTTTATAGGAATATGGATAATTTATTAGTTTTCTCTAAATAACTTTTGATTTTCCTACAGGACATTAGAATTTGTTTACACTAGTAAAAACTACATAAAGTTTACTAAAGTATAGTAAAAACTGTCTTGGATATTAAAATCCCGTTAAATTAAAAAATGTGCATATAATTTTATTTAGTACGATGAAATATAGAAGATAAACTTGATGTAATATTATGTCCAAATGCAATATTCTAAAAGAAATATCACAATAAATTGCATAAAGCAACTCCAACTTTATCGATCAAAAGTTTCCTTCAAATATATAGATAATACTCGAACAAAAATATAAAACTAAAACTTTCCACTAATATTTATATTACAAGTATCTTTTAGTACATCAGCACTTTTGTTCAATGTAGACTTTAATTTAAGTTGGAATGTTATACTGATAGAAATAGTTCAAAGTAACTATTTTAAAGTTTAAATTTATCTAAGAAGGAGGATTCAGTTAATACTATACTAAGTTTTAAGTTAACTGTTGTATATGATAACACTATAATTAGAGAGTTTTCGAAAAACTTTGTCGATTAATCCGATCGGAATCGTGTTCGTGAGGAAATTAGATAGAAGTGTTCTGAAACTTTTGAAAAAAAAACTCTTTGTAAGAGAAAATTTTAGCTTAATTTTTTTTCTCAATTGTATTCTAAAACTTTCTAAAAATATTTACAATGGTTTAGTTGCTTCCAATATAATAAAAACAATAGATTCAAAAACTTATGTTTTATTAATTAAACATTTATACATTGATATTTATTATATACATGGCATATATGACGATTTTATACAAATATATTAAAAGTATCGCTGTACAAAAAATATTTTACAAAACGCTTAATTCTTAAATATAAAATATATGAGTAAGTGGCAGTTGAAGAAAAAAAATTAAACTTCCAAAAATATTGATAAAGGAATAATAAAATGTAAAATAATATGTGAAGAAATTCAGAAAAGTTACTGATAATAATAAATGTAATTTTCAACTGCTCACTTAAAATTTTCAATGAGTAAGAAAACGCAATTAAATTATTATTTAACGTTTCTAAAAATGATCTTATGAAATTATTAAATAACATTAGTTATATATTACACTCGCAAATCAATAAGCAAATAAGACATCACTTTATGGGGCCAAAACTTCGATAAAATAAAAATTTCTAGTAATGCTATGTTACGAGTCTATCTTTGTATGAATTGATAGTAATAAACTGCTAAAAAGCTCTGTTTTTGTTGTGCATTCAGGGGATTTACACATAAAACCTAACCTACAAAATGCACAGAAGATAAACCACAATTTTAACATAAGTGCATCTTTTATATGTGCTTTGATAACACATACGTGAATTTAGGTTTAAGGGTACTAATGATGTAGAACGCATGATTGCACACCAAATATATAGCTCTTTGACAGTTTATTACTACCAACTAATATGAATATAGAACCGTAACATAGCATTACTATAACATTTCTATTTTATCAAAGATTTGGCCCCTGTATTAAATTGTAAATATAATTTATGATGTCTATTATCCGATTGATTTGTTTTTATTATTCTACGTTATGATCAATAAAAATACTTATGGACCGATTCTGCCGCATAACAGAAAAATGTTATGGCAAGGCCATGTTATGAAAAACTTTCCATACTAAATATTGACAACAGCAATGTGGTTGCTGTGCAGTCTGGCGTCAGATTGAAAACCTAACCTAGAAACCGCACAAATGTCAAAAAAATGATGTTACATAACAGGGTCTTTCTGACACAGCTTCATAACATACTAGTGACGTAGCAGTTTATGCGTAAAACGTCTGAATGCACAGCAAATGCATGACATTTCGACAGTATTCAGTATGATTTAGTAGCATAATGTATGCAAGTTGGGGCGTAACATGGCCTTGCCATAACATTTTTCTGTCATGCGACAGAATCGGTCCCTTGATCATCCACAAGATATTTTAAAGTCACTTGTGACATTTGGCATCCAGAAATAGAATTTTTTCAGTCCTGATCTTAAACGAACGTAAACATATTTTGAAAAAACCTAAAGATATTTTGACTGCATAGTTATTGATAATCTTAAGGGGCACAACTAGTGTGAAATTTTCAAAAAATCGAATTTTCAATTTTTTCATATTTCGATAGGTTATACCTTTAGAAATAACATACTAGAATTTTAAATCGATATCTTAAATAGTTTTTGAGTTACAGCCATTTAAAGAGTGTATATATAGTATATAGTATAACGATCATTTTATCTTTAAACGCGTTTTTCTCGAAACAGAATTTTCCGAATTTGCTGCAGCGATTACTCAAAAACAAATGATCCAATCACTATCAATTTTTTTTGCATGTTTTATATATATTTTGACGTAAAATGAACTATCGATTTTTTGATCGGATCAAAAATCGAATTTTGGCAGTCCAAAAACGACCAGAATTTTGGGTAAAACTCAACTTTTTTTTAAAAAACGCCGTCATTTTGTCAATTTTTGATTTTTCTTCTTTAACGTAGTTCATTTTACAGACAATATTATCTAGTTTAACGAGAATTTTTTTTTTAAATTTCATCCACGTAGAAAGCCGGAATCACTGCAGCAGTGAAGGGCCTTTTGTTGTCGCGCCGTTGGAGATCGACAACTTAAAAAATATTTAATTTTTTTCTTCACAAATTTTACTATGTATTCTTAAAACATGTATAAATATATTACTATTATCTAGTTTAACGCGATTTTTTTTTTAAATTCCAACCGTAGAAGGCCGGAATCACTGCAGCAGTGAAGGGACTTTTTTGTCGCGCCGTTGGATACCGACGATAACTTGAAAAATATTTAATTTTATTCTTCAAAAATTTCACTATGTCTTCTTAAAACATGTGTAAACATATTC